GCGGAGCAATGAAACGGACTGAAAACTCACTGGCCAAAGTAGAAATCATTGTCTACCGTCGATATTTAAAGCAACCGCTATTTTAGTTATCTTAAAGTCCCTTATACTACCATTACTCTTAATTTTTCACGATCGTTTCGTGTGTAAAACTCCGGTGACGATTTCTTGATAACCACTAACTTTGACGAAAGGTGAAAATCATTTTTCGATCCATGTTTCTACAAAATGATAGGTGTTAACTTAAATCAGTACAAAAAAAATTATAGTTTATATGTTCGCATACAAGAAATGATTTACTAACGTTATTGGATTACGACCAAAAAAAATGATTCTAACCCTCGTAATAACCCGTCACTTCAAAAAGAGCTATTTCTGATTTCTTACTTACCATTAGTTTTCTCGACTTTCTCTCTGATTTAGGGGACACTAAACAGCTCAACCGCCTAATCTGGAATACGTGACAAGCGACTATCCGTATCTGATGTACCTAATCTTTTGTTTATTCTTGTTTTATCTTTAACATTATAAAGCAGAATTAATAGTTATTGTTCATCTCGCCCCTCGTATGAATTATTCAAAGTATTTTTTACGTAGATGAGAATTAACTACAGGCTCGATCAACCGACAGATTGAAAATACGGTAGCTTAAGGCGAATTTTTTCAAGTTCGGTTTCAAAGCAACCTATAATCGCAACTCCATGACTACTTGGGTGGATTTATTTCTCTTCATTGTCATTCAACCTTTCTTTCCATCACCAAGAAAATTAGAGCGGATTATTGAAAATGAAAAGGTGAGGAACCCTTATCTCCAACTCTTAATCTAAATTCACTTAAATCTTTTCTTACTATTAGACTATTGTGTACAGATTCTACCTTCTTACGCATTTTGGGACGTAACAGTTATAAAACGAAAAAGAAAAGGTTTCTACGTCAGGTCGGTTAAATCTTAAAAAAAGAAAAAACATCAATTACACTAACCTCAAATTCCCAATTTTCTCTGGTGCCAATTACACGTTAAAAATACGATATTCGATAATCTTGCGAGTGTTAACACAGCCAGTCAGTGACCTTCTTGTCTTTTTGAAAATTATAAAACACCCGCCTTTAAAGTCGCGGTTTGTCACTTTACATTCACTGTAAGCACGTTTGCTCAGTGAAAATTCAAACACAAGACGAACCAAAAAGGGCTAAATATAGTTTTTGTTGTTGTTGTTTGCTATAAAAAATAAATAAAATTGTTTTGCAAAATACATGATATATTTGTTTATGTAATAAAGAGAACAGTACATGGACGCTTGGAGATCGAACAGGATATGGAATTTATCTTCTTGTGTTCAAATCGACTGAAGACAGTGAACTCTTGAGAAATCGATTTGGATTTGACAGTCGGAGATAAATTCCATATCTCTACGCGCCCATGTATTATTCTCTATTTGTTTTCGTCAGCGTTAAGATTGATATATCATATAGACTACGAGCAGTCTCTCTTTTTTCTTGGTCCGTCAAGCAAAACGCCCGAGACACGCAAATGACCACGCGCGTGACTGAAGGTGCGAGACGGGAGAGGCTGCCGCCCTTGTTTCTCGCGTCTTGCGTCTTGCGTCTCGCAGCTTCGCCGCTCAACGCTCGCGCGCGCGTGCACTCCCCTTACCAAATCTGAAGAAAAGGAGAGACTGCTCGCAGTCTATATATCATATGCCATTCCTCGCAACTGCCTCTCTTAAAAAAGAACAGAGAGTCAAAAATAATGTACAATGAGACTCAGCCCTCGTATAACCAACCCCTTTATAACGAAAAAACCACGGTGGTAGGAATAACATTCCCCCTACTACCAGTGCCGGATCCAAATCTTGAGATAAGGGGGGGCGGTCATCCAGATCCTTAGATGGGGGGGGGGGGGGAGTCTCCAAAAAAAATTTTTTCGGCCCCTCGGACCCCAGTTTGGTCTAAAAATAAGGGGGGCGGCCCCCCCCCGGGCCCCTCCCCTAGATCCGCCACTGACTACGTACAAAGCTGACATACTTTTATGGGCGAAAAGAAAACTAGTGAATCGGATCGGGACACGCAGAATATTTTTGACTTTAAATGAAAAAAAAGATACACAAACAAACGAAAAAGGCTAGATAGTGCATGGTTGAGTTTCACAAAATTTGTGTTTTTCATAACACTTGAGAATAAGGCTATCTTCACACTATGACGGATACCTTTTCGTTCCAACACGAAAAGCTGTAAATAACTGTCCGATCAGTGTGACACTCCACTTAAGAGATCGGGCGCGGGACGCAGGTTCGTTCCGTTATAGAAATCGCGCCGAAATCACCATTCTTGTATGTGAACAGAGGCCCTATCTGATATGGTTTTCGTGCCGACACGAAAAACTTACCGGCATAGCAGAGTATGAAACAAGCCGTTCGCACACATCGAACTGAATTTTGCCGGAAAGGGTCTGGTGAACTAGATACCAGTCTTCGCTCCTGAATATCAACTCCAGTCTCAGTGGAGTCCAAGGGCGCTTTCCATTTACCAAGAAATTCTGGAAATTCTGGTTGGCATGTTAATGGAACACACGTTTTCCAGGCGTTCCACGGGAAAGTTGCCGAGAATAAGTGCAATTTTGAAAAGGTAGTCCTGTTTTCCCGTTGGAAACTTTCCAAGCATGTTCCATTTATGAGTTTGCACCAACCTCGTCCCCAGGGCTTTTCCCTCAAAAAATGTGTGGGAAAAGCCCTGGGGACGAGGTTGGAGTTTGCAAAAGGAATCACCAGTTCCACGCTATTCACGACGATCTCTGTGCCATCTTGAATTTTGCTGACGAGAACATAAACGAATGGAATTTGTGTCAAAATGAACATGATCTTCACTCGATGGACCTTTCCATGGAAGTTTTCGAAAGTTTTTGGTAGACGGAAAACGCCCCAGTTCTTTCTCCTACTCATTCACCTCTTCTATGGTCCGAACGAAGTGTGGTACAGAACCGACCCCATACAGTAAAAACCCGCATAAAAGCACACGTGTTTTGGGGGTTCAGGCTAACTTTGTCCTTACATTTACATACACACAAAATCAGCCTGAAAATGTTCTTAAGGTGTTCTTAAAATTGTCTCTAAATTAAATACTGCATAGACTACCAACAGATGAAATCAATATGCAAGCACAACATTTTAATTATAGTTAATAGATGGATTTAGCCTTAATTGTATTGATCAAGGCAATAATATTTCATTGGGGGAGGGGTAGCAGTTCTGGTGAAAAACAACTCGAAAGTTAGCAAAAGTCAAGCAAATTCAAACGTACCAGCTCTCCCCCTCCCTCATTCCATGTACATTGATCTACTTAGTACTGTGCCCTAGTAGGTTATTCTAATCAAACTGGCAGCCAATTTTTTTTATAGTACGAACAGTTTCCCTTTTCAGGCTGAATGAGTTCTTAATATGTATATGGTACTTTTTTGACCAAATTGCTGGTTTGCGCGTGACGTCACGGCGGCCATGTTGGTGGTCAAGAACAAAAGCATTTCTCTCCTCTAGGAACCAAACTCTATTTTCATGTAAATTCTTCGAGAAAAAACTCTATTCTATTGACTCCAAACATGGCCGCCTTGTCAAGTGGTTGAAAACCGAGAATATCAGCCTGGGTGTTCTTAATCCACTTGCTCTTTTATGTGGGTTTTTACTGTACGTGACGCCGGTCTACTTTCAAGATGGGCGCGACGCAGCTTCACTCCGTGACAGAAATCTCGGCGAAATCACTGTTCTGTGTGAAATGAAACCCTATCCGGTAGAGTTTTCATGCTGGCCAAAAGCTATGCGGTATAACCTTAACCCTTTAAGCCCCAATATCTACATGCAAAATCTCCAAACTGATCTCTATACATTTCCTTCAAGAATTAGTTGAGAGAATTTGCTAAAAGATCATGGCAGTTTCTCTTTGGAGATCATTTTATTAATTCTCATAATTTTATCTCTTGACAATGTATAAATGTTGCTAGGAGAAAATTGATGTTGGTCACTAAAATCGAACCACGAACTCCTGGCTAAGTGTTTGTTAGCGCAACATCACAACGAGGCGAGACCATTAATTATGTTAATTACAAATTCTCTAGAGCACAACGTTTAAAGTTCCAACTGGTAGCCAATTTGAACAAATCTTACTTTCTCAAAGGCTAAAACATATAAATTATGGTAACACTGGGCTGGATAACTTTGTATCTTTATCATCGCTCTACAATGCAAAGAAATATTTTAACTATTATTTCCTCGTAGACGTTAGAATAAACTTGAAAATTGATTATTTTTCTGATGTTGTAACCGTTAAGTTACGCGCCACTTCATTTCAATAGTTTTGAAATCTCTTGACACACCACATTTACAAATATCAGCGAGCATTGTCTACATGCAAATTTTTGCCCAACACGCAAACAAAATAACCGAGCGCTGAGGGCAGTTTCTAATTTCGCTGAGATGGTCAACTGAAGTGAACAAACGGGTGTTAAACAACAATAAGAAGACAGCTTGCCAGCTGTCAATACACACCTAGGGAGACAAAATGATGACGGAAGTACCAACTAGCGAAGAGGAATTCGGCAGTTCTATTTCGGACACAGAGAGTGAAACAAGCCATCCAGACTGGACTGCTAACGAGAGGAATAAACGATCTCGAGAAACGACACCTAACTGTTCAATGGTTTTCTTTATCCTCGGGGTTTCTCTGACAGCACCGTTCATCACTTTCGTTTCTGCTGCTGAAGATGTATTAGCAGGAACAGATAACGCGACCGGACTTGTCATAATAGTGCTAACAACGCCCTCTCTTGTTTTAAAGATTGCGTCGCTCTGTTTCAGAGAGGTGTCTCATGTAGCCCGAATGTTTCTCGTGTCAGCTTTTATTATTGTGGGCCAGTTGTGTGCGGTTTTTATCACACACATTGGAGGACGTTTTGCTGGGATTTGCCTGGTTTCTGTGGGAACAGGAATTGGTGAAGTCAGTTTATTTGTTCAAGCCGCTAAAAAATTGGAAGAAGTTGCCTTGTGCTCGTTCATAATAGGAACTGGAGTTGGAGGAGTTTTGGGCGCTAGTTTGTATGTAGGTAAGACATGTCCAGAAAAAAAAAGTTATATCTGTTCTTTCCCTTATTATCTTATTTTAATCTTACGATAATACTCCCACCTTTTGTAAAGTTCTCAATCTTCAACTAGCTCTGCTGAATTCGAAGAAACTGCATGAATACTGTATTTAACTTACTCTTCCACGGGTTCTATACTTAGTGGCCAAAAGTACATAACTAAATCAACAAATCCCTCGTTGTTATCTTCCTTTTAACTTTTATCTTTTTAATAGCTATTGATTAGACTTGGCAACATTTTATTTTATCTATTTTATTTTACTCCAACATTTCTTACAGTGAGTTGTGAGAAGACCTCACCTTTTAACTTAATAAAATACAACTAAGTCAGATAAAATTTTGTTAATTTTTTAATATGCATATTTCAGGCTTTCATCCAGCGCTAAATTTTGAAAACTTTGTAAGTTGCTTAAAATCTGCATTTGGGAGTCTTTTAGAGGCCTAAAACTCAATATTAAGTCCGCAATGCGGTTTCTTTCAACAAACAGATATTTTGTCTCCTCTGGCATGAATTTATATTTTTTCCTGTTTGTAAGTGAACCGTAAAACCAACAATAGAGCCTAATATAAGGACTCGTGTCCTGATATTGATGAACAGAAGAAAATACAAAGACGTCAAAGCACCGTGAGATTTTTGCCGATTATTATGCCACTAAGTGCAAAACTTACAAACTTAACTATTTCAAATTTTGGATAAGCTCAGTAATTGTTCGTTGCTGAGTATTACTCTTTTTTATCTTTATTTACTTATTTTTAATTTTTTTTATTCATTTATTAACACTAGTCTATTTCTGATAGATGTATATGAAGTAAATAATATCTTCATCTACTTCTATCGCCGGGTTGTTGACAAGCGGCCAAGCTCCGGAACCGAAGTGTCAACGCTGAATAGAATTCGAAATAGACCTTCAAATTGTTCCAGTAAAACTATGTTAGCATTCTACTGCAACATAAGTAAACTTTCTGGTGAATCCCAACAAAGAACTTAAAGTGAATCGGATCGGGACACGCAGAATATTTTTGACTTTAAATGAAAAAAAAAAGGCTAGATAGTGCATGGTTGAGTTTCACAAAATTTGTGTTTTTTATAACACTTGAGAATAAGGCTATCTTCACACTATGACGGATACCTTTTCGTTCCGACACGAAAAGCTGTAAATAACTGTCCGATCAGTGTGACACTCCACTTAAGAGACGCAGCTTCGTTCCGTTATAGAAATCGCGCCGAAATCACCATTCTTGTGTGTGAACAGAGGCCCTATCTGATATGGTTTTCGTGTCGACACGAAAAACTTACCGGCATAGCAGAGTATGAACACAAACGGCACAGAACTGGAACAAGCCGTTCGCACACATCGAACTGAATTTTGCCGGAAAGGGTCTGGTGAACTAGATCCCAGTCTTCGCTCCTGAATATCAACTCCAGTCTCAGTGAAGTCCAAGGGCGCTTTCCATTTACCAAGAAATTCTGGAAATTCTGGTTGGGATGTTAATGGAACACACGTTTTCCAGGCGTTCCACGGGAAAGTTCCCGATAATAAGTGGAATTTTGAAAAGGTAGTCCCGTTTTCCCGTTGGAAATTTTCCAAGCTTGTTCCATTTATGAGTTTGCACCAACCTAGTCCCAAGGGCTTTTCCCTTAAAAAATGGGTGGGAAAAGCCCTGGGGACGAGGTTGGAGTTTGCAAAAGGAATCACCAGTTCCACGCTCTTCACGACGATCTCTGTGCCATCTTGAATTTTGGTGACGAGAGCATAGACGAATGGAACTTGTGTCAAAATGAACACGATCTTCACTCGATGGACCTTTCCATGGAAGTTTCCGAAAGTTTTTGGTAGATGGAAAACGCCCCAGTTCTTTTTCCTACTCATTCACCTCTTCTATGGTCCGAACGAAGTGTGGTACAGAACCGATCCCATACAGTAAAAACCCGCATAAAAGCACACGTGTTTTAGGGGGTTCAGGCTGATTTTGTCCTTACATTTACATACACACAAAATCAGCCTGAAAATGTTCTTAAGGTGGTTTTCGTTTGAGTGTCGTAAAACCAAAACCAAAGTAATTACTCTGGCCAATCACATAGGACACAGACAATACATTGAACCAATCAAAACTCGAAGAAATTACATGTGGCTGACGCAAAGCGCGGGAAAATGCATGCGAGCGCGTCATAATTGGCTTTGGTTTTACTTCTGATTGGATGAAAAAGTGGCGCGAATCTTTTAAGCCAATCGCATCGTGTAGAAAGTGCAAAACCAATTACTTTTCGACACTCAAATGAAAACCGCTCTAAGGTGTTCTTAAAATTGTTTCTAAATTAAATACTGCATAGACTACCAACAGATGAAATCAATATGCAAGCACAACATTTTAATTATAGTTAATGGATGGATTTAGCCTTAATTGTATTGATCAAGGCAATAATATTTCATTGGGGGAGGGGTAGCAGTTCTGGTGATAAACAACTCGAAAGTTAGCAAAAGTCAAGCAAATTCAAACTGCACCAGCTCCTCCTCCCTCATTCCATGTACATTGATCTACTTAGTACTGTACCCTAGTAGGTTATTCTAATCAAACTGGCAGCCAATTTTTTTATAGTACGAACAATTTGCATTTTTCAGGCTGAATGAGTTCTTAATATGTATATGGTACTTTTTTGACCAAATTGCTGGTTTGCGCGTGACGTCACGGCGGCCATGTTGGTGGTCAAGAACAAAAGCATTTCTCTCCTCTAGGAACCAAACTCTATTTTCATGTAAATTCTTCGAGAAAAAACTCTATTCTATTGACTCCAAACATGGCCGCCTTGTCAAGTGGTTGAAAACCGAGAATATCAGCCTGGGTGTTCTTAATCCACTTGCTCTTTTATGTGGGTTTTTACTGTACGTGACGCCGGTCTACTTTCAAGATGGGCGCGACGCAGCTTCACTCCGTGACAGAAATCTCGGCGAAATCACTGTTCTGTGTGAAATGAAACCCTATCCGGTAGAGTTTTCATGCTGGCCAAAAGCTATGCGGTATAACCTTAACCCTTTAAGCCCCAATATCTACATGCAAAATCTCCAAACTGATCTCTATACATTTCCTTCAAGAATTAGTTGAGAGAATTTGCTAAAAGATCATGGCAGTTTCTCTTTGGAGATCATTTTATTAATTCTCATAATTTTATCTCTTGACAATGTATAAATGTTGCTAGGAGAAAATTGATGTTGGTCACTAAAATCGAACCACGAACTCCTGGCTAAGTGTTTGTTAGCGCAACATCACAACGAGGCGAGACCATTAATTATGTTAATTACAAATTCTCTAGAGCACAACGTTTAAAGTTCCAACTGGTAGCCAATTTGAACAAATCTTACTTTCTCAAAGGCTAAAACATATAAATTATGGTAACACTGGGCTGGATAACTTTGTATCTTTATCATCGCTCTACAATGCAAAGAAATATTTTAACTATTATTTCCTCGTAGACGTTAGAATAAACTTGAAAATTGATTATTTTTCTGATGTTGTAACCGTTAAGTTACGCGCCACTTCATTTCAATAGTTTTGAAATCTCTTGACACACCACATTTACAAATATCAGCGAGCATTGTCTACATGCAAATTTTTGCCCAACACGCAAACAAAATAACCGAGCGCTGAGGGCAGTTTCTAATTTCGCTGAGATGGTCAACTGAAGTGAACAAACGGGTGTTAAACAACAATAAGAAGACAGCTTGCCAGCTGTTAATACACACCTAGGGAGACAAAATGATGACGGAAGTACCAACTAGCGAAGAGGAATTCAGCAGTTCTTTTTCGGACACAGACAGTGAAACAAGCCATCCAGAAATCTGGACTGCTAACGAGAGGAATAAACGATCTCGAGAAACGACACCTAACTGTTCAATGGTTTTCTTTATCCTTGGGGTTTCTCTGACAGCACCGTTCATCACTTTCGTCTCTGCTGCTGAAGATGTATTAGCAGGAACAGATAACGCGACCGGACTTGTCATAATAGCGCTAACAGCGCCCTCTCTTGTTTTAAAGATTGCGTCGCTCTGTTTCAGAGAAGTGTCTCATGTAGCCCGAATGTTTCTCGTGTCAGCTTTTATTATTGTGGGCCAGTTGTGTGCGGTTTTTATCACACACATTGGAGGACGTTTTGCTGGGATTTGCCTGGTTTCTGTGGGAACAGGAATTGGTGAAGTCAGTTTATTTATGCAAGCCGCTAAAAAATTGGAAGAAGTTGCCTTGTGCTCGTTCATAATCGGAACTGGAGTTGGAGGAGTTTTGGGCGCTAGTCTGTATGTAGGTAAGATATCTCCAGAAAAAAATTATTTCTGTTCTTTCCCTTATTATCTTATTTGGATCTTACAATAATACTTCCACCTTTTGTAAAGTTCTCAATCTTCGACAAGCTATGCTGAATTCGAAAAAACTGCTTGAATACTGTATTTAACTTACTCTTCCATGGGTTCTATACTTAGTGGCCAAAGGTACATAACTAAATCAACAAATCCCTCGTTATTATCTTCCTTTTAACTTTTATTTTCTCAATAGCTACTGATTAGACTTGGCAACATTTTATTTTATCTATTGTATTTTACACCAACATTTCTTACAGTGGGTTGTGAGAAGACCTCACCACTGAATCGAACTTGATAAAATGCAACTAAGTCAGATAAAATTTTGTTAATTTTTTAATATGCATATTTCAGGCTTTCATCCAGCGCTAAATTTTGAAAACTTTGTAAGTTGCTTAAAATATGCATTTGGGAGTCTTTTAGAGGCCTAAAACTCAATATTACGTCCGCAAAGCGGTTTCTTTCAACAAACAGATATTTTCTCTCCTCTGGCATGAATTTATATTTTTTCCTGTTTGTAAGTGAACCGTAAAACCAACAATAGAGCCAAATATAAGGAATCGTGTCCTGATATTGATGAACAGAAGAAAATACAAAGACGTCAAAGCACCGTGAGATTTTTGCCGATTATTATGCCACTAAGTGCAAAACTTACAAACTTAACTATTTCAAATTTTGGATAAGCTCAGCAATTGTTCGTTGCTGAGTATTACTCTTTTTTATCTTTATTTACTTATTTTTTATTTTTTTATTCATTTATTAACACTAGTCTATTTCTGATAGATGTATATGAAGGAAATGATATCTTCATCTACTTCTATCGCCGGGTTGTTGACAAGTGGCCAAGCTCTGGAACAAGTGTCAACGCTGAATAGAAATCGAAATAGACCTTCAAACTGTTCTAGTAAAACTATGTTAGCATTTCACTGCAACATAAGTAAACTTTCTGGTGAATCCCAACAAAGAACTTATTGCCGAGAACCCCGATTTTTCTCTACGTGAGTACGTCAGCCAATCAGAAATGAAGATTTGCAAGACATGTAAATGGCTATACCGTGTGGCACGAAATTTTTGCAGAAGTTTATTTTTGCGGATTGCCGATTTTTTGTGTTTTGCTGGACCTAATTTTTGCGATTAGTACAGATTGGTTTTTCTTGCTGGGAATTATTTTTTGCGATTTTCAGAAAGTACCCAATACTGGCCAGCATTGATAATATTTTTGTCATTATTGAGTACGTGCAATAAAAATACATATTTTCTAGCAATAAGCCAATATTTCGTTGTTTCTGAATGAAGGAGACGAGTTGTGATTGAACAGACACGATTTCTTACTACTGCATTTTTTTGGAGCGAATTTATTTTAAGTTAGAGAATATTTAATCTGGAGTAAATTTTTGCGGGAAAAATTTTTGAGGTAATTTTATTTGCAGGAACTTATTTCCGCGGATCGCTGGAAAAACCGCAAAAATTAGAACCCGCAAAAAATTCGTGCCACACGGTATATCGAGGATATTGGTGTTTGAGGCCAATTCTGTGCTGAAGTCATTGCCTAGTGCCTTAACCCATACACGAAATGCTCCTGTAAACTAAAGTTATGAAAAAGATATTAACTAAACAAACGTCGTTTATCGAAGTACCGAACTAATAAGCTCGGCTTCAGCTTCAGGGGAAGGAGCGCGGGCTCACTTCCCGAACAGCGGCTGGTAATAGAGCCTGGAAGGCTCTTTGTGAATATATACTTGTCGTATAAATCATAATGCTAAAGCCAACTCGATTAGGTACAACATTTATTTAAAGGTGAACTAAATTATGATACATTATGAAAAATTACTATAAACAGACCAGCAGACAGAAGTGGTTGCATACAAAACATGAAAAAGTATTCTTACCCTTCATTCTCAGGCACATTCGGGAGGAGTAAAATTCTTCTTAAAATAAGAACTCGCACACAATATGTCTATAGCCAAAGCTACAAAGACACGAAGAAAAGAGCGAAGAGCAGAACTCAACCTGACTAAACCCTTCCACATCTCAGCTATCGTAAACTCCACATAGAATCAGATTCTTGTTGCATCGTGTTTGCGTGTACAAAGTGTTTTTACTTCTCCTGAAGAGAATGAAAGTCGGCATTCGAGTAAACAGTCTCTAAAGAGACTTATTTACCAGTCACAATTCGTTTAATAGACTGATAAACCAATCAGAAGTCGTATTAAACGCAGCTTTCGCCCAGCGCAGGAAAAAAGGCGGGAAAAGCCGTGCGCTCAAAACAAGAATTTTTTTAAAAAAACTTAAAAGCGTTCAAATGCAGACTCATTCCATTTAATGGTTGTAAACTTATTCCTTGTCACTACTCGTTTCTTGTATTTTGACTCGCCCTAAAGACTGGCCAAAATANACTAAACCCTTCCACATCTCAGCTATCGTAAACTCCACATAGAATCAGATTCTTGTTGCATCGTGTTTGCGTGTACAAAGTGTTTTTACTTCTCCTGAAGAGAATGAAAGTCGGCATTCGAGTAAACAGTCTCTAAAGAGACTTATTTACCAGTCACAATTCGTTTAATAGACTGATAAACCAATCAGAAGTCGTATTAAACGCAGCTTTCGCCCAGCGCAGGAAAAAAGGCGGGAAAAGCCGTGCGCTCAAAACAAGAATTTTTTTAAAAAAACTTAAAAGCGTTCAAATGCAGACTCATTCCATTTAATGGTTGTAAACTTATTCCTTGTCACTACTCGTTTCTTGTATTTTGACTCGCCCTAAAGACTGGCCAAAATACAGCGTGACTCGTAAAAATATATCACGATACTACACGTGCACACTAAACCGTCCAAGAGGTGAGTTTACGTAACAGGACGGCAGGAAGAAGAGAACGGCAAAACTGTCGTGTGTGACAAACGTGACAGGGCTATTACTTACGTGTTTTGTCGTGATCTTCACTTACATTAATGCTTTCTAGTCTTTTACGAAAAGACCTGTTTAAAGAGGGGTGAAGTTCGGCGGAAACGTTTTTGAAACAAAATTATTGTCACGCTTGTCACACAAGGTTTGCCGTCTTCTTTCCTCTGCCGTCCTGTTGCGTAAGCTTACTTTTTATTGTTGATTTAGCAAGATATTGAATCAATTCTCATTGGTGAATCTGTTTAATTTTCACAGGGTTGACAGTCTGGGCGACTGTGGATCCAAGAACCGCCATTATAGTATCAGCAATATGGCCGCCAATATTTCTCTTTACATTCGTTGCGTCGCGGGGAAATCTTCATCTATTCCGCTACTCCCAAACTGCCGAATTCTTTCCTAGGATACAACAACGCAAGTTTGAAATAGACTGTCGCTTATCGCCACGCTGGAAAGAGCGACTTAGAACCGTGTGGAACTCATCTCACCATATGCTAATGTTGTTCTTAGTTTATTTTAGCGAGTATATTATTCTCTCAGCGATTCTTTCCACACTTATCTTTGAGGGTGTAGGGGTGGGTCCGGAATTTGTTCCCCGGGGACATTTTGAACACTACGTCCTGAGCACCATGGTAGGCGAATTCCTGGGCCGAACATTCATTTCCATGCTCCGCACTGTCTCTCCTGGATTCTTCTTTACTTCAGGCCCAGTCCTGGCACTTTTACCTCTTGCTGAGACGATCTTTCTTATACTGGCAACCTGGTATCAACTCATTTCCCAAGTATGGGTTATTTGGTTGTTGTGCTTTATCCTGGGTACAGCTTGTGGAATGATTTTCTCCAACTCGTATCACATCATCGCACGAAGGTTCATCTCGCATCACGTGATATTCAGTATCACTCTGACGTCGATACTAGAAACCGCTGGCATTCTGACCGCAGGATTACTCGGAATTCACGTAGAGAAGACTTTGAGAGAACATTGCTTGCACCACTTCGGCAATAAATCTGACTGCCTTACCCGAAGCAAGGATTCGTCATTTTGGGAATACGGAAACAGATTTAATTCTGATGGAAAAACTGCCCTTATTCTATAACAAATACGAGTAAAACTAAAATAAAGATAAGAATAAACGGTACCGCATTTTGCATTACAAGTTTTCCGACTCACTCCTTTTGAATACGTTGTTGCTCTTCGGAGTGATAGCCTAAGGCGTCACTGTTGGACGATTGAATAAAGTATAAAGAAACTGTAAAATGGGAGTAGTAGAATACTCTTCCATTGCAGAGGCTGCCTAAAGAGGACATAACTAAGCTGATACAAATTTTACTTCATATTGATAAGGACAGTTAATACTGATCAATTCCATTCACTTCGTTTTGGTAAACTAAAGTTTTCTCTTTTCTCTTTTTTTTTTCTCTTTTACTACTTCATAAACAAATTCGCAAGCCCTAAGTTTACAAATGAGAGCGAAAATAGTTTCTTCTGACATCTAAACAGGGAGAAGCGATGGATCAACCCGAGAGAAATACCTACTACGGAAAATACCTAAAAATAATAAAACATTCAAGGTTTTTGAGTTTTTGTTGCTTTCCCACCCATCCACCACGTGTACAATAGACAAGAAAACCGCTTGATCAAAAGTTACGTTACTGAGGTAACAGACGTTAGGTATGGTTATTATAATCAGACGAGTAAATGAAAACCGTACCTCAAGCGTCACTGACCGGTGATATTTTCAGCTCTTTGAGCATACTATGTCGACCTACGTTTAATTACATTTTTAAAACTTCTAGTGTTCCAGCTCAAACGGTTTAACATATCGACACCTCCAACCATGCAGATAGCAGTTACTAAGGGAGTAAAAACGGCTCCAAGCAATCGTCTGAAATTCAGGCTAACAACAAAACTGCCCTTACTTCTGTTACTTAACAATCTTGATACGAAACACACAAGTCCAAGTAGTTTATTTCACGAAAAGAGTTTTGCCGTGACCTACAGCTGCTAACTAAATTCTATAGTTCTATTTCCCGTTTGTTAACGGGCTGTAAAACCGACAATACAGTCAAATCAAAAGAGGACAAAAGAAAATATGTCGTGAGAGGTTTGTGAAGTCTGAAGCAGGGTTTTTTCACATACACCACCCAGTGTTAAACTGGCAGATGTACAGGGCGGGCATACCCCAAACTTTATTTGATTTTTCTCCCTTGTTCCCAGAAACGTTCCTAATGTTCCCCGAAATAAAGTCCCTATTCCCTGATTTACAGAACAGTTCCATTGTTCTATAAGTCAATTTAAGATAACCCATGCTACCTATCCCGTATTTCTTTCTTCCTCAAAACGTCTTTGAGCTGGGCCCTGGGCAATTGCAAGGCTTTCTAAGCATTTTGACAAAATCAGATCCTCTTTTTTCTTTTTTACCTTTCTTTCCTTTGTCTTTAGTTTTTTGGAATGTTTTTTCTTATATTTGTCAATACTGTATGACTAAAATAATGCAATAGCAAATTTTAAACAATTATTGGATGAGGTTTTTGTGATATCCGGAATAATCAAGGTCGAGGTAAGTGTTATCAGCCGAAGCCGAAGGCTGAGGCTGATAACACTAACCGAGACCTTGATTATTCCGGATATCACAAAAACCGAATCTAATAATTGTTTTATTATACATTGTTTTGAAGAAAACAACGACAAACACATTATCGCAGCGATCACAGTTTATTTTCAAACACTTATAAATGTACAACTGAGTGATAAACAAATTTTCACCGTCTGGATATTTTTCTCTTTAAGGTATTCGTGGAACAGTTCCTTCGCCACTTTTGTCGATCTTTTAGTATTTTCCGAATCTTTATCTTCAAGTTATTTCTCAATTTCTTGCTGGGTCGATGAAGCCAATC